AATTCCGTTGTAATTTCTTTCTCGTGAAGGATTGTTAAACGGGGGCACCACTGATGCGGGGAGAGACCGTTAATGGTGTCTACTATGCTCCTACCTCACTTTTGCCCTCAAGCCAATGTAACAAGTTTTATGTCTCTGTCTGATTGGCATCATCGTTTTGGTCATCCCTCTAATAAAGTACTTAGTTGTGTTTTAATTCATTTCACCAATGTTTCCAACTTTCCATTAAATCATTTTCTTTGTATTTCTTGCAACATTAATAAGAGTCACAAGTTACCCTTTGCATAAAACTCTATGGTAAGCTCTAGACCTCTAGAATTAATTTATACGAATGATTGGAGCTCATCTCAAAAATCAATTGATGGTTATGCTTACTATGTTATTTTTGTGGACCACTATGCAAAATACATTTGGTTATACCCACTCGAAAAGAAGTCAGATGTGGCTTTTATTTTCCTGCAGTACAAACGTCTAGTGAAAAATTATTTCAATCAAAAAATTATCTCAATCTTCTCAGATAATGGATGTGAATTCATTAAACTTGTTCCTATATTTAATAATGAAGAGATTTTTCGCTTCACCACTCCCCCTCATACTCCTGAGCATAATGGAACGGCTGAACGTCATCACCGCCACATAGTTGAGACCGGTATGTCATTGTTACATTCTGCTTCTTTACCTTTATCTTTTTGGTCTCATGAGTTCCAAACTGTAGTTTATCTCATAAATACATTGCCCACACCTGTCTTGGATAATTAGTCTCCTTTTGCAGTTCTATATAAATCTCAGCCCAATTATATATGCTAAGCTTTAGCCATTTGGGTGTTTATGTTTTCCCTGGTTAAAACCGTATTGTTCTCATAAATTGGAGCCTTAATCTTTCTCATGTATTTTTTTGGGTTACTCAAATTCACAATCTACTTCTAAATGTTATGAACCCAATACAAAAAGAACCTTTTCTCCAGACATGTTAAATTTGTTCCAACCCAATTTCACTACAAAATCCTAAGTGTGAAAGACTTTGCAATTACATCTCCTCAACTCACAAATAAAACTTGCCAGTTTGCTAATTTGTCTACAAAACCACAAATACCCATCCTGGAAAATCATCTTCTTCAACAGATTCTCGCCTTCTTTAGTCGGTCGTGCCACCATAGTCGCCAATAGCTTCTCCTACGCCGGCGGTGGGTCTATTCCATCTAGAGTCCTCTGTTCCAACGTCGTCCCCTCCATGTCTGCCAGAGCTGTTATCTTCTTTTCCAGTGGTGGTGGCAGCTTCATTGGATTCTTCTCCAAAACTATTGACCACCTTGCCGACGATCTCTCTTCTTTAGGTACTTATTTCTTGACCCGCTAGGAACCGCAAGAGTAATCCTAAAGTTTTTGGTCCATCGTTTGTTAATACAGTCTCAGTAACCCCTTACCTCCTTGTCTTGAGCCTAACACCGTTACCCAGGCGTTGAGAGATCCTTTGTGGCATAAGGCGATGGATGAGGAATATGAGGCTTTGCTTCGGAATGGTACTTGGGATTTGGTACCACGAAAATCTAGACCGGTGGTTGGATGCAAATGGGTGTTCCGAGTTAAACGCAAGCCATATAGCCCAGTAATGAAGCCGGTTTCTATACGTGTGGTTATTTCTATTGCTTTGCGTAATAATTGGTCCATACAACAATTAGATATTAATAATGCGTTTCTGAATGGAACATTGACCTATCGAAACTGTTTTTATGGAACAACCACCGGGTTATGTTAATGTGAAATTTCTTTCTCATGTTTGTCAACTTGAAAAGGCATTGTATGGCCTTAAATAGGCACCACGAGCTTGGTACGTTGAGCTTAGATGCTTTCTGTTGCGCTATGGTTTTGTCAAGTCACAGCCAAATGCCTCATTGTTTGTTTACTCAGCTAATGGCATTCTTATGTAGTTTTTGGTGTATGTTGATGATATCCTACTTACTAGGAGCAATACTGTGTGTATTGAGCAGTGTGTGTTAGGTTGTCTAATGTCTTTGCATTAAAAGATTTGGATCCCTTTACATCATTTCTAGGTGTGGATGTAATTTCAACTGTATCTGGTATGTTTGTCTCAATCACAGTACATTTACGATATTTTGATCAAGATTCACATGGATGGAGCGGAGCTAGTTTCCACGCCCATGAGTTTTTCAAAATTTCTGTCTCTCCCGGACTTTTCTGCAGTTGTTGATCCTACAGGCTTTCGCAAGCTTATTGGTATGTTGCAATATTTAAGCATTACTCGTCCAGATGTTTCATTTGCTGTGAATCGTTTCTCACAGTTTATGCATGCACCATCTGCGACCCATTGGTCTACTGCGAAGCGTGTTCTGCGCTACCTTAAGGGGACATTGTTTCATTGGCTACTTCTTAAAGGTACTACATCCTTTCGGCTTACTGCTATTTCTGGTTCTAATTGATGGGGCTCCAGTACTTTGGGCCGTTCTACCATTACGTATGTTTTGTATCTTGGTGGTAACATTGTTTCTTGGAAGTCAACACGTCAAAAGCCAATGGCAGAGTATTGTGCCATTGCGAATGCTACTACTGAGGTTTTATGGGTTCAACATCTTTTTGCGAGAGCTACGAGTGCTTTTGTATGACTCTCCTGTATTGCTATGTGATTATCTCAGTGCTACATATGTTTGCAAAAATCCTATGTTCCATTTTAGAATGAAGCATCTTTCCCTTGACTATTTCTTTGTTCGTGAGTTGGTGACTTCTGGGGCTTTAAAGAACAGCTCGCTGATATCCTCACGAAGTTGTTGGGTCGTGCATCTTTTCAGCTTTTTCGGTCCAAGATTGGAGTCTCCAACGGATCCTCCATCTTGTGGGGCATGTTTAACACATAGCTTGAACTAGTCTTTAGATGGTTTTGTTATTTACTTTTATTTAACCTTTAGTTATGCTTTTGTTGTAACTTTTTCTATAAAGCACGTCACTATTTATATCTCCAGTGTAAAGTCATAATCAAAGTAATTTTATTCTACTTTTTACACCAACAAGAATAAAAGTGTGCAGTTAAGGCTGCAGATGCTAGGGGGGAGGGGGGGGGGATAGTTGGGCAGAGACCGGTGAAGGGGTAAGTCTAGCACCATGTGGATAGGGAGGTTGTTGGGTGGAGCCTTGAAGTGCTAAGCCTAGCTCCTGGCCTCCTGAAAATCCTAATAGTAGCTTTTGGACACAGCTGTTCACATATCAAGGTCCACTTATCAAGCACCTTCAAGAAGATTTGAAGCCATTCAAATTTCTCCAAGGTAGCAGTTTCTCAAGTATAAAATATAGGTAGCAGACTTGAATATTCTTGATTTAAAGTGTCCAACACCAAACAAAAAAAGCTCTCATCTTTGAAGTGTTGGAAGACGTTACACTCAAGGGAACTTTGTGGAAGATCCTTGTAGTGAAGTTGTTGGTTAGTGAAAGCAGTTTTTTGGTGATACAACTATTCGAAGGACTATCAAGGAGACTCTAAGAAACTAGCAAGGGGACTTTGTGATTGATCTTTATAAAAGACTCTCACTTGTATTTTGTAACAACTACATAGTGAATTCCTCTTGAAGTATAAGAGGAGAGGAGTATTGGATTTCCCTAAGCACTATAAACTCACCCCCCACCCCTTCTCTCTCTCTTTCTAGTTTACTTTACTTTTATTCCTTTCAAATCGACCATATCCACACAAGCAAACACTTACGCTTTGAAACAAAAAAAGTTACAAAATCATTTTCAAGAAAATTTCTTAATAAGTTATAGACTTCCTTTGAGCGTACTTTGTGTATGCCACCCCTTCCCCCCACCCAAAAAAAAACTTCCACTTGCTCTTGGAATCAACAAGAAGAATTAATTCGACCAAATAGAAGAAATGTTAAAACAAAATATTTATCTTATTTAAAAGACTCATTCTATAAGAAAAGCCGAACCTGCTGAAACATCATTGAATAGAGAATCTTATTTTGAAGAAGTTACGTTCTAAATTGGATAAAGCTCTAAGTCATACGACATTTGCTCCCGGTAGAGTTTGTTCTTCAAAAGATGTTTGGAAATGAGAAATATCATTGCTTTAGAAGAGATTTAGTGTTGACATCAGTAAAATACCTTAACTCAACATTGAAAAAAAAAAAGAGAAAGAGAACACAATAAAGAAAGGATATAGGAATTCTATTTCTCTAAAATTAGAAAAATTGTTTTCCAATTTTTTTTTTTAAAATATAGAATTATTCTCTCTCTCTCTCTCTCTCTCTCTCTCTCTTCTTTTTATTTTTTTATTTTTTATTATTTTGAATTTGAATTTGAGAAATGAAAAGTAAACAAAATTTTCATTTTTAAATTCTTCATTTTTGCAGTTTTTTTTAAAGGTCACTACACTATATGAGAACTGATAGAATTGTATTGAATGAATGTAATTATAAAGATACAGATCATAGGTATATATACCAGGAGAATCATAGAGAGACAGACTAGGGAATCATAGGGAAACTAGGATAGGGAGTCATAGACTAACTCAAATACATAGAGTCCTAATACTCCCCTCAAACACAGGGTACAGACGTGACCTGTAGCTTGTCTCTAAGAAAAGAAAACCTAGGATCAGGTAGAGCCTTTGTAAATATATAAGCAAGTTGATATTTTGTTGAGATAAAGTGAACTTGAATCTCTCCATTGGCAACTCTGTCTCTAACGAAGTGATTATCAATCTCCACATGTTTGGTACGACATGAAATATGGGATTTGCACACATGTATGTAGCACCAAAATTATCACACCACAGCTTGGGAATAGAAATTCTATTCACGCCAATCTCACGCAATAGAGATAGAATCCAAATTACTTCAGCACAAACATCTGCTAGAGCTTTATATTCAGCATCCGTAGAAGATCTAGCAACAGTTCTTTGTTTCTTACATACCCAAGACACAAAATTGGATCCAAGAAACACAGCATAGCCACTAGTTGACTTACGGTTCTCCGTTCTCGAGACAGCCAGCCTAATCAGAATCATAAAAAGCATGCAACTCCCTTGATTCTGACTTTCGTACACGTAAATTGTAAGTAATAGTGCCTTTAACATACCTTATCACACACTTCAATTGTTCCCAATGCGAGGCTGTAGGAACATGCATATGTTGACAGAGTTGGTTGACAGCAAAAGACAGATCTGGACAAGTAATCGTGAAATACTTCAATGTTCCAACTAGACTCCTATACTGTGTAGCATTGTCATATAAAAGTGCACCGAAAGAAGTGGGTTTCGAAACAGATATATGAGTGGCTAAATGTTTACAATTTGTCATACCAGCACGATTCAAAATGTCTGTCATGTATCGTTGATGGGAAAGCAAGATTTCGTTATCACATTTAACAGTCTCAATTCCAAGAAAGAAATCAGGTTCACTAAGATTCCTAATCTTGAATTCAGTAGAGAGTTTAGCCAATAGCTCGTTGACTAGATTCATACTACTCCCCATCACAAGTATGTCATCAACATAGACCAAAACATACACAAAAACATAATCTTGGGAATAATAGAACAAAGACACAAATGTTTTCGAAGCATTAAAACCAACTGACAGCAGAACCGCATGTAGACGATTAAACCAAGCTCTAGGAGCTTGTTTCAACCCATATAAAGAACGCTTCAAAAGAAATACATGATTAGGAAACTGGATATCAATATAACCAGGCGGCTGCTCCATATAAACAATTTCATATAAATGTCCATTCAAAAAAGCATTGTGAACATCAAGCTGTCTAATAGTCCATCCAGATGATATAGCTACATAGAAGTAACATGACAGTAGTGGGTTTAACCACTGGGCTGAACGTGTCAAAGAAATCCAAGCCAAGTACTTGATTAAACCCTTTAGCTACTAACCTTGCTTTGTGTCTTGCAATTGAACCATCTGCCTTCTTTTTGTGTGAAAGACCCACTTACACCCAACAATATTCATGTCTGATTTAGATGGAACAAGGGACAATGTCTCATTCTGAAGAAGAGCATTGAATTCTTGATCCATTGCCTTACGTCATTCTGGATATTTAACCGCCTGAGTGTAGCATGTAAGTTCAGTAAGACAAACATTTGCAGTCAGAACCGTAGGGGGAGCCTTAGACTGGCTCCGTATGGCCATGGTATGAGAACGAACCGTGGAGCGAGTAAACCGCCCACGCGATCGGCCGGGAGGACGAGCCGTGGGTGAAACCGTTGAGGTAGTGGGTGTAGTCGATGAAGCGGGCGGCTCGGGCTGGTTGGCATGATTTGGTTCGGGCAGAACTGGCTGAGCCAGCGCGAGCTGGTCATGCCGAATAAAAGCAGGAGTCGTGGGACGAGGCTGAAGGGTGGACTCAGCCCACGACTGATTTTGTTTAGCTGATGGTGCCCGCAAAATATTTTTAGTAGCGAAGGGAAAAATCCCTTCATCAAACTGAACATGCCTGCACACATGAACCTTGTTAGTTTGTAAGTCCATGCACCTATAACCCCGGAAAGACTCTGGATAACCTAAGAAGACACAAGGAGAAGACTTATAGGACATTTTATGACGATTGTAAGGTCTTAAATGGGGATAACATAGACATCCCAAAGGCACGAAGAAAAGAATAAGATGGAGGGGATTTATATAGCATAAGATAGGGACTGGAGTTATTTATCACAACAGAAGGCATTCTATTTATCAAATAAATAGCAATCTCAAAAGCAAAATCCCAGAATTTGTTTGGAACAGAGGCATGAGCCAAGAGAGTCAAGCCAGTTTCAACAATATGTCTATGTTTCCTTTCAACACGACCATTCCATTCATGAGTGTAGGCACAAGATTGTCTATGATTAATCCCTAGCTGAACAAATGAAGAGTGTAATTTTTTGTACTCAGCTTCTAAATCAGATTGAATGGACTTAATAATGCGATTAAACGATTGTTCAACCAGGACACGAAATTTATCAAAGATAGCATATATGTCAGATTTTAGTTTCATAGGATAGTACCATGTGAATCGAGAGTGATTATCCATAAAGATAACAAAGTAACGATATCCATCAACTGACAACAAGGGAGCTGGACCCCAAATATCAGTGTATATTAAATCAAGAATATTCAAACTAGAAGACTCAGCACGAGACAAAGGAAAATGTGCAGATTTTCCTAATTGACATGCACTACACAAACTAGAATTAAAATGAATAGTACTACTAGACCCACTAACTGAACAAGACTGAAGAACACGACTAAGGACACATTGATGTGGATGACCCAAGCGACTATGCCAAATTGAAGCAAAGGCGCGAGCGGAAAGAAACGCGGAAGGAGACGAACTTGTCACTGGCAGGCTGTATAGCCCCCCGGAGCTACTGCCCCGTAGAAGAATTTCCTTGGTATTGATATCCTTCACAACAAAAAAAGAGGGGTGAAACTCAAAAAATATTTTATTATCTGAAGCAAATTTTTGAACAGACAACAAAGAAGTAGACAATGTAGGAACATGAAGAATATTTGACAATTGAAATGACCTAGACATGACTAATAGATAAACCCGTAGCATCACCGACATGCAAAGTGTCATTACCATTGTACTCCTCCGCGGTGGAATGGGCGGCTATATCTGGAGTAGAATGATTGGTTGCACCTGTGTCTAGAACCAAGTATGAGCACCCTGAGTAGAGTCCGTAGGAGAGTCCTGATATACTATATGTGCTTGGGGATCTTTAGTATACCGAAGATGACAGGTAACCGCAGTATGACCAAGTATCCCAAACAACTGGCATTTAGGCTGCCAGTTTCCATTCCTACCGCCACCACGTCTTCCGCCGCCACGGTTCCGGCCACCGCCACGAGACTGTCCGGTGTTCTGGCCGGAGTTGCGGCCGCCTCCTCATGTGATTGGCCGCCTCGACCATGTTGATGTCTGCCTTGCTGCGCCGTAAAAGCAGCCAACGAACCACCGCCTGGACCAGCACCCGAGAGGAATTCTTCCACACCAAGGAGGTCAGCAAGCTCCTAGAGCGTCACCGGCTGTCCACGTACATTAAGGGAGGATGTTAGAGAGCGAAATTCCGGCCGTAAACCCTTGAGAACATAGAGGTTCTGCTCTTCAAGGGTAATCGACCAGGCAGCGAGAGTGAGGTCTTCCACCATGACCCGTGCCTTGCCGACGTAGTCTGCGACCGAAGTGTATCCTTGTTGAAGGGACTGAAGCTGTCCTAGGAGATTCATGGACCGAGACTTGGATGACGAAGCCAGCGCATTGACGACCGCCTCCCAAACAGTCGGTTGGTGTGGTGTCCGATGGCCAACGACATTACCTCGTCGGACAATGAGGACATGATTATGGACAAGAGAGCCTGATCTTGTCGAACACAAGCTCTATGAGCAGGATCTGGCTGCACCGGCACACCTTCTACGGCGGGGAGATAAGCCGGCGGACACAGGTTCGTACTATCAATGAACCCCATCAAATCATGACCATGAAGAAAAGGAACAACCTGAGCTCTCCAAAACATGAAGTTATTGTATGTCAGTTTGATATTGATAAAGTGATGAGCGGTGGACAAGGAATTCACGGTCGATGTGACCGAAGAGATATTGAAATTTGAGACGGTCCGTTCCGAGGAGTCAACAAATCTGTCAGCTATAAGAAAGAAACCCTAGCTTGACTAGTACCAGATGAGAACTGATAGAATTGTATCGAATGAATGTAATTACAAAGATACAGATCATAGGTATATATAGAAGGAGAATTATAGAGAGACTAGGATAAGGAGTCATAAGAAGACTATGATAGGGAGTCATAGACTAATTCAAATACATAGAATCCTAATACACTGAAATTTACTAGCGATCATTCGTAAATCTAATGTGCCCCGTAAATCATCTTTATTATGAATATTTTCTTAAGCTGTTTTAAGTTGTTTTACTATAAATTATATGAAACTTTATGCTATATGTTACCGTTGTTTGTGCTACAATATATCTTTTATACCTAATTGGGGAAGATACATCCACTATTATTATATACATAGATCCACCAGTGCAAGTCTAACATTGTACACTTAGGGGTGTATTCAATCATGACTTTTATAGAGTTTTAAAGACTTTTATGAACTTTAAAAGTTTGTGGGTATTCAATTCAAACTTTTAGAGAGTCTTTAAAAGTCATGCGGTATTCAATTAAGATTTTTAAAGAGTCTCTAAAAATCGTGTGGTATTCGATTAACACTTTTAGAGGATTTTTAAAAATCACGTGGTATTCAAAAAGTTATGAAATTTTGTAGACTTTTAAATTTTAAGACTTTTGTAGACTTTTTATTCGCAAATATAAATAGTTAAAATCCAACCATCAACCCCCAGATTTCAAAATTTTCTTTCTAACAACTTTGAATGTTTTCACTCTCTATTTAAACTCTATTTTTTTCCCAATTTAAACTTTATAAACCTATCTAAATTTAATAAAATTATTTTTTCTTCATTATCCTATATTTTCCCCATACCCAAACTCTACCAATTTTTCTCTCTCCTAAACTTTACCATCTTCCTCTAAAAATTCGAAATAATATTATTTTTACTTCATTATTGCTTGTTTATATTGATTTTTATTTTTTCTATGAATTTTTTATCCCTAACTTTCTCTAATTCTCCCTAAATACATAAACAAAGCAAAATTTTCATCATCAAATTTTAGTATATGTTTCATAATATTCATATAAATACTTATATATTTTGAATTTTATTCGTTTTATGTTTATATTCGTAATATATATATATACATATATATATATATATATATTTATTTATTTATTTATTTATTTTTAACAACAAGTTACTACGAATAGCGAACTACTGTTCACAACAACAATTTGGCGTTGCAAACAGTACACCTTGTTGTTGTTCGCAGTCTCAAATTGCTATTGCAAATAATAGTTCTTTGTGTGATGCCTAGCAATATATCAAGTATAATTTTATATATATATATATATATATATATATATATATATATATGTATATGTATGTATGTATATTATAAATATTAGATTTTTTATTTTATTTTATTCAACTTGTAATTATATTTGTAAATATTTTATTTGATTAATTCTTTTATTTTAAATTTTATTATTCAATATTGTTATGAATTTCTAATGAAATAATTTTTTTTGATGTTTATTAATAATATATATAAGTAATTAGCATATAAGTCTGAACATACTATGGATAAAAATAATAATGTTGTGAATGTTGATGTGCGTGAAGAACTATATAATAAGAAAATTTTATGATATATTATAAATGTTTTGTAAGAAAATTATAAATGATAAGAATCAAAATCATTGAAAGTTTGTAAGGATGTATTCAATTTAGAATTTCAATGACTTTTGTAGACTTTTTAAAATAAAAAGTTGATAAAAGTCTTTATATTGACTTTTATTGAGTCTTATAAAGTTTAAAAAAGTTTCGAACGACTATGAAAGTCAATCAAAGTTTATTAAAATTTATCATTTTAAAAGTCTTTAAAACTCTACAAAAGTCATGATTGAATACACCCCCCTTAATTAAAGGGAAAATGACACTTTTCCCCCTGAATATATACACATAGCATTTTTTATCCTGAATTATTCAGGTAAGCACATTAGCCCCCTCAGTCATTCTAAAAGTGGCAGTTTTTTCCCCTGATATATTAAATTGACATTTCTACCCTTAAAATAAATATTTTATTTATTTTTTCTTCTCCAACAAATTACTGCGTAAATGTAGGGATGATAACGGTTCGGTTCGAACTGAACCGGACACTATAGCAATCGAATTAAAAATTTTCGGTTATGATTCAGATCCATAACCCAATATTTAGATTTCAGTTTATTAAAATTATGAATCGAAAAAACTGGATCCTGAACCGTGAACTGGCGGTTTCGGATCCGGTTCGTGATTTTGAACCGTTTTTATTTTAAAATTTTATTTGGAATACTTTGGTTTGGTTGCTATAGTGTATGTTTGGTTTGAACCAAATTGTGGTCATAATTTGTTGGAGA